GGGATGTGCCGACTACGTTAGTTGTGTTCGCTAGCTCAGATAAACCCCAGTGGGAACGGGCCTTTATAACCAAGTCTGGCACTTATGCATTTTTGCGTATGCCGTTTGGCCTTTCAGGGGCCCCGGCAACATTTCAGCGATGCATGGACAATGTGTTAAGACCTGTTCTTGGAAAGTCCACATTTATCTATTTAGACGATATCATTATTACTAGTGATAATCTCGACCAACATGTACAGGATTTAAGACAGGTGTTTTCTTTATTAAATGAGGCCGGTCTAAAAGTTAATGTCGAAAAGTGCAAATTTGCAGCCCCTGAATTAAAATATTTAGGTTACAAAATATCTCAAAAAGGGATCGAGACAGATGAATCAAAAATAATCGCTGTACAAAAGTATCCGACTCCAAACACGGTAAAGAAGCTCTCTTCATTTCTAGGACTTTGTTCATATTATAGGTCCTTATAAAAAATTTTGAGCTATTGCTGAGCCATTGTTAAAATTAAAAGGAAAAAGGCAAGATTCTCGTGGACGGCCGAAGCCAATAGTGCTTTCGAAAAATTAAAAAAAGCATTAACGCAAGCCCCTGTGTTGAATTTCCTGAAAAGGATGAGAATTAGAAATTAAATTTCAGCGGATGCTTCGGATTATGCGGTAGGAGCGGTACTTTCGCAAAATCAGCAGCCCGTGGCATTTTTTAGCCGAACTTTAAATCAAACACAAAGAAACTATTCCGCGACCGACAGAGAGGCACTTGCAGTTCTGTTAGCAGTGCAAAAGTTCCGAGTCTATTTTGGAAGGCGCCGATAACAGTGTACTCTGATCATGCGGCGGTAACTAGATTGTACTCAGGAAAAATTTATCCCCAAGGTTAATAAGATGGGTCACCCAAGCTGCAAGAATATAATCTGGTAATCAAGCATACCCCCGGAAAGGAAAATATCGTAGCAGATGCCCTATCAAGAATTAAAATAGATGAACAAGGGAATACCGTAAAGGTGGTAATGCTCACAGCATGTACAATAAATTCCCGAGAAACTGTAATAACTGAACTGGGTAAGGATCCTGAGTTTGGAAGCATTTATGAATATTTGAAGGATCCTGAAAATTTTAGCCACCAAGATATTGTGGCGATAAAAAATAGGGCGGCCCATTACGAACTAATAGATGGTCTATTATTCTATAACAAAACTACGAATTCCAACAACGAATTTCGACCTGTTATCCCAGCTATTAAATTAAATTAGCTATTAGATTAAATTATACTTGCAGGAGCTGACCGATTGACAGCCCTTTGGCTTCTCATGGCTGGTATTCGAAAAACCTATCCAACGCGTACGCGAGGCAGTCTACTTTCCTGAACTGCAAAAGTTAACAAGGGCGTATGTCCAGTCCTGCCCAACATGTCAAGCAGTTAATTATATTAATTTCCGCCCGGCCGGGTTTCTAAATAGTATTAAATCCGAATTTCCAAATGAAATAATTGGCATCGATTTATTGGGCCCTTTCCCAAAAGTCAGTTAAATAAAAGTCGCTATCTCCTTGTTATGGTTGATCATTTTAGTAAATGGACCGAAAAATTGTTCCCCTTAAAACGAGCCTTCGCGAAATTAGTTACTGATTCTATTTTAATAAAGTATAGTTTAAAATACGGGGCGCCCCTAAAAGTTATATCGGATAATGGTCCTCAATTTGTAAGTAATATATTTGAAGACATGTGCCAAAAACTGGGCATACGTCATTTAAAAATGGTCCCGTATCGGCCGCAATCAAATATAGCGGAACGGGTCAATAGAAATATAGTGAAAATTATCCGTAGTTATGTTAAAAATTTTCATAAAAGCTGGGATAACTATGTCAATGAATTTGCTTTCGCCCTTAGGACCGCAAAACATGATACAACGGGCAAAACTCCTGCTGAGTTATTTCTAGGCAGAAAGATTATAAGCAGAAAGATTATAACACCGTTAGATAAATTATTTTATGTGCAACAAAGAGCCCCAGAATTTAAAATGGGTGATATAGAAAAACTAATAAAAATAATAACTTATAATAATAATAAGCAAAAAAGAATACTACTTCCGCACAAAGAAAACAGAAGCTCTATTATGATTTGAAACGACGGGGAGTAACTTATAAAGTAGGGGATGAAATTTTAAAAATTAAGCATTCACTTTCTTCAGCACCAGAAGATAAAACTGCCAAATTTTTTCCACGATTTGAAGGACCATATGTTATAGAAAAAAGTAACTCACGCTGTAGTAGTGTTAAAAGCCAGAATGGTGAATCTGTTCCGCAACATTGATCAAATCAAGCCCACTTCGATCGTAATAAAATGCAATATTTTCAGATCTTTTGCAGGATCCGGCACGGCAGACACCGCAGGCACAAGCTCCAGAGGTGGGAAAACGACAGTACAAGGGCAAGCCAATAAGAGGCAGGAGCAAGTGAAAAGAAAATTGCCCCGCTGAAAAATTGAAGGTAGCAAGAAAAGAAGCCGTTCCACCGTCCAGAAAAGAGAGTTCACGAACACACCCCCAGAATGAAGAAGGGAGAAGGACGACGTATGTGAAGAGAACCAGGAGAAATGACGGCAACTATAACCCGGCTCTAAAACGGAAGATCGACTCATCCGACAGGACTCTCCGCAGTAAAGTAGCCGAACTGCGGAGGGCCATCAGCGGCGGAGGAAAAGTTACAAGGAAAATTTGAACGGCCACAACGAGGTCCCCAAGCAGGAACACGACAGAAGTTTCCCGGTTCCGCCAAGACAGCTGCCATCAAACGCCAAGACCACAAGCAGAGGAGAAAAAGAAGGTATTCAAGGGTGGCCGAACTGGTGAAAAAGGAAGTTTCCAGAGGAAAGCACTGAAGGGCGAGCCCGTACAAGAAGGAGGATAAATCACACAACTATCTGCAGTACCTTTAAAGACTGGTCCCAGAAAAGGATGTCGAATATCACAAAGATAAAAAATTTTATGTTACTTTGCAAACTTAAGTTAATCTTCATTCTTACTGCAAGTGGCAGATTTCAAGAATTTACCTCATGCGAGGTCCTACCTTTATCGCCAAAGGGCGAGAAATGTGTTGTTACCGATTTTCGTATTATGTTTTTAAATTACTCGCGCGTAAAACTAAAGTTGATGTATAATAGCGTTGTGTAAAGACTTAAATATTGAAAAAAAAAGTTATTGTATAAATTTTATTTAAAACATTCTAGCAAGAGAGAAGTTTTAGTCTGAAAGACTTTTTGAAATGTAGTATTTCAATGTAGAAAGAATTGGCACTTGCTTTGAAAAGAATAGAAGTTAACAATGTACTACTAATGTATGTTTTCAAATGTGTAAAATTAACGGCATGTTGATATGTTCTTATATACAATGTGAACTGTTATTTTAAATGTTAAGAAATACCGTGATATGGTAAAGTGAAAGTAATGTTAAAATTTTTTTTATTCGTGTGACTGTAAAAAAGACTAAAGCATGGCGAATATTGTTAAAGGTTTAATGAATTTAGTTAGGCTCTCTGACGCTACACTTTAGAGTTAGCCACTTTTAGAATAGTACCTCAGGGTTTAGAGATGAATATAAGGTGTGTTCTGAGGTCTTGTTAGTTGAATTTTAACACGTAGGTTTTGATTGCAGGCGGTAGTTTGAACACTTGTACATAAACACATTCGTGTTTGGTGTGTTTTCTTTACAACAATGTCAGAGAGCACGGGAGAGATAATTAAATAAAGTCATGATGAAATAAGAATGTTTTAGAGAAATATAAATATTCATGTTATTTGCCATTTAATTGTGTAACATTTCATTAAACTAGTTTTCCTTCCAGATCTCTGGAAGGAACCAGATTTCAACTAACAACTCCTGTTTAGATGCAGTACAGATGAAAAAAAAAATTGTTCTATATCCTGGGAGCTGCTATTGTAAAAAAAAAAAAAAAAATTCTTCTTTTAAATTTCTAGTTTCTAGCGAAGTATGTTTTGTAAAAGATTGGCCTCGCGTTAGATTCTAGAGCTAAAGGTTTTCAACAAAGTCGTTTAGACCTCATTTTCAAACTAATTAACTCTGCGGGAAGTATGTAAGGATCTTAGTTTTACTAACGTTATTTTATTTTAAATCTTTACTATCACTTCTTATTTTTTCTACTTCCGGCCAGAATTATAAGCGTTAAGGTTTTTATGCAAAGTTTGTCTGGCGAACGCCAGTATTTAAGTTGTGGCCTTTTGCCAAGCGAGAGAGAGGAAGCAGTGAGTTCGAAGCAGGCCGCTTACCTTAGAAGTTACGCAGTTGCTGTTTGCCTTCCAGGCCAGAGGTTTAATCCTCTTGATAACTTTTAAACGTATTGTAGTGTTCTCAGTTATCTGTACTACATACGCCTTCCTGTTAATATAAGGCCAATCTTCCACGTTTCTTATTCTAAAGTTAAATTAGAGTTTAGTTTTATTTTTTATACTTTTACGTTAGACCCCAAGTGGCGGGTCAGTGTATTCCGAAGTACGGAAGTTATTGTATATAGAGAAAAATAAAGTGTTTTGTATACCCTTCGTGTGTATCCTGTCTACTTACCACAATCAGTGAACATAGCTTTAGTAAGCTCTCTGTTCCGAGTCAGGTCCTTGTATGTTCCCGAAGAAGGTAAAAAGGAACATTGACCCTGATAACGCTACCTTTCTTAAATACCAATCTTATTAGGCTGCTATGATACATCGATTTATTGCGAACTCTTTCAAACAATTTTTCTGCATGCTTTACCATTAAAAGAAAGACCCATGGACTTTTCCTTCCTTACACAAAAAATTGTAAGCTGTTCGTTTTCAACAATCAATCAGCTATCAGCATTGAATGCTCCATCATCAATCATCATTTATTATGGAGAATAAGTTTTCCCTTTACATAGCAACCCAAAAGTGATACGTGGTAACTGAATGTTTTATATCATGCGACCAATTGTACTAAACAGTTGTACTTCCGAAAACAAATTGTTTTTAATACTTACTTTCGTCAAGTCCTAAGCACAATCCCCATTCTTTCAACGATATGCGATGATCATCATCAGCATCACATTTATCGAGGAAAGGAGCGATACAGTGCTCCATAGCCAGGAGTGGTGCACGGATGGGAAACAGCTCATGACGAGAGACGGATCTACATAAAATAAATTTAAAAAGTTCTCTTACTTATATTTAACAACACTTAAATTTGAAATTTTATTACAACCTCAATGATACGAACCGAATGTTTTTGGCTTGATTACTGGAACTGACGGTGATTTGTATGGGTTTTGGGTCTCGCTTACACGAACGATCAGAATGGATTCGATTATCTGAAATGAATGCCATCAAGATGGTATGGGCCTCGATTATAAGAAAAGATTGTGATAGAATGGATTCGGGCCTCAATTATGAAAAATGACTGCAAACAACATGGCTTCGGCTAATGGATTTTTATGTTAAAGATATGGATGTTTCGAGTATAAGATTTATTTTCGACATTACATGTAGAACTGTAGAACAACTAGATGGACATCGATTTTCTAGCATTAAAAATTTTATTTCCATAATGAGTTAGATTTTTTTGCAAACTGAAGAGAAAAGAAAATACGAGTAACAAATACTCATAATTGTTACCTTCTCACATTATAATCCTTAACTAAAAAAACTAGCTGTTTCACATTTTAAAAATACAGTCATACTTTGCATAACGAACGTAATCTGATCATTACGCAATACGCCACTATATTTTCGTTATGCGAAGTCTAAGTCGTTCATTATGCATTGTTCTTTCATTATTGCGTTTAAGTTAGATTAGTTGAACATGGTAAAGCACACAAAGCCTATTTGCCTAAGTGGTAGGATATCCTAAGGAAAACTGGCTCGTATTCACATTACGCATGGGAACTAACCACACAACTAGCCCGTTCGTGTGGGATCGAACCTAGGCGAACTCCCAATATTCAGCGATAACCACTTGGCCGTTTAAATGGAGTATTAAAATAAAGTGTGCCTGTGATGAAAAGTTAAGAGCACTAAAAGTGATACAATATAGTAATTCTTGAATAGTTAGCTAAGATTACGTTGTGTCTGCAAAAACCTATTGATACTTATGAATATCAGATGGGATGTGTGACCTAAGAAAAGAAACTCTCTCTAAAAGAAATTCCTCTCTTCTGACTATCAGTGGATAGTTTCCTTATCAAAGTCGAATAAAAAGAAAACGATTTCAACGAGCTATCAGATGCAATGATTCTGTTAGCCTCGATTCTTTTCAAAGGTAACACGCACATTAATTTCTTTTATTTATTTTTACTTTATATGTACTAGCATTTAAATATAACTATATACTAGCATTTACTAGCATCTATATATACTAGCATTTTTCTTTTATTCATATTCATCTAGCATTTAATCACTAAACAACTAATGGACCGTATCATTTTCAGTCATTAATATCACATTGCTTACGGTGCTCATATAGAATGCATTGTAATATTTTTCAAAATCTTTGCTCGTTAGTAACTGAACTACAAATATTTCGATACGTGAAGCAAATAAACTACTACTATAACTTTTTGATCATCTCATATATTAATTTTACTGTGAATGTTAGCAACATGGGAATTCTTTCATTAAATTTCAAGAGGCTATATAAAAATTATACAAGTAATTTTCCAACATGCTACCCACAATTAATAATGAACAAATTATCAACAATTTCTATGCTTTCCTTAAACTTTTAAGAAGATTAAATTCGTATAGCCTTATAGAACTTTATTTTTAATGTTTATGCTTCATATTTTCAGGAATTTAAGCACTATAATGTTGTAGGTTTCAAAATTGGACTCAGTTCTGAAGAAAGAATTTGTATTTTTCCTATTCTAGAGATCATATTTTTTATATTTTTATTCTTAAAAAAGGAAACATTATTTCGGGAATGAAAAGAGTAACAAAGTGTTGAATGATACATATCCTTTCTGTTTCGCTCGTCGAGGTTCAAAGAAATAGCTGCAAAATCTCAATATTTGATAAGTTAAAATTTGAATTTTCATTCATGGTTTTAAATTTATTTGTGTTTCTTGGAGATGTTATATGGAAAGATTTCTTATTATATATATATATTTTAGATTTAAAAATAATAGCTTTTCAATGTACTAGAATGTGAGTATGAAATAATTAAATGGTACAATTAACTTAATAACGTTTAGTAAGAGCACTGCAATAAAAGTTATCAGTTATGAAATACAAATACCTGTCAAAAGGATGTGAATCTAAATCGCAGAACTTCCAGATAACTGCATTGGCCCATTTCTTTGCTAGATCGCGTTCAGCTTCTTGCTCTAACTGAAGATACTGATCGTCCAATTCTGACCTTTGAGCAAGGTCATGCATGATGTTGAAAAGCCATTCGCGCATACGTCTTGGAAAATCTTCCATTTCTTCTTCGGAGCACTTGGGTATATCTGGATGGAAAAAATCTCATATTAAGAGGGAAGATACCAAAAAAAAAATTAATCTTGACATCTTAAATTATAGCTTAGCACGTGAATAGATCACAAGCAATTAATTCTCAATTTTAAATATACGAGTAAAGAACAAACGGACGTTTAGAAAATGTGCGAAGTAGTTACTCATGCATCACAATATATAAATCAGACTGGAAAAAGTGTGAAAAAAAACCCTCAAGCTTAATTGTGTTATCGCATTTATCATAATTAAAATTTTGAGATATAAAATTATGATCAATCAAGATCGAAATTGCCTGGACTAAGCATCTTCCTTGTGTAACACTTTTCTTTCTCTTCATAGAAATTTCTGAAACTACCAAATTAAAAATATTCTAAATTTCCAGCGCCAGCGTATTATCCAACCTGAATTTCCATTACACAACACCCGCGTATCCACCAGGTAAATCCAAACATAAATCCAATGTGACTAGTGTATCCTGAAACACCGTGAAACCAAAGTAACATTACATTACAAAATAAAAATCCTCAAGCACAGTAGCTTTTAGAATAGCTCAGATACCAAAAAATATTCCGCAAAAGTCTATATTCCCCAATCTATATCCCATTATAACTGATACAAGAGTATAAAATATCTTTCGTCTCGGAAGGAGGGAACTCTAAAAATGTTTTTTAAAATTGCTGTACTTCGAGCAGATTAAAGGAATAAAAAATACGATTCTTAGAATGGTTTTCATGACAAAACCAGCATAACAAAACCAAGAAAATCTTCACAAATTATTGAACTAAAAATAATAAAAAAAAAGAAGTATATAATTCTGCAATTTATATATTGATACAAGACATTTAATTATTATTGTCAATCACTTTAACGCATATAACAATATATGGATAGTAGCGTTAGAAAAATTCTGCAGCCGACGTTTACAATTAATTTTGACATAGTATTTTGTTCATTATAGTAATGGTATAAATATTTATAAAATAGGTAATTTTTACGAAAACACAATACGCTATTGAAAATAACAATGGAATTTCTCCATGCAAGACGCATTGCAACTTTGAAATGTGTTGAACGGCCCTTATTTAAATTACTATTAAAAATTGAATTTCGAAACCTTATACCAATGTGTGAACATAACAATAAACAACTTTAAGGAATACTATTATTGATACAGAATCTTTTTCGTTCCTAAGAACCTAAGAATAGTTGCAGGAGTTGCATTAAATACCTTAAAGATTGTTTTCTCTGGCCTGAATCTCAGGAGGTGACCTGCCCATCTCATTCATAGAATACACAGGAGTGTGAAATTCATTGCATCTTTAGCAGTTTGTAATTTGATAATGTAAGGACAACAGAAAATTCTTTATGTCGTAAGTTAACAATCATGGTGACAATTTCGCGCTACCCGTTGGAAAGAGATAATGCAAAAACGAACATGATGTATTTGAATAAAGAACATAATTTGCTTCCGGTTCAGATTGACAGTTAATGAAGACGAAAAAAAAGCGATCAATCCTTAAGACCGATAAAACAGTAAAGAAAAAAAAATGATGCACTTAAGTGTAAAATCGAAATATGTTAAAGCAGTTACAGATGTTTCAGCTGCTAGGGAAGTTGAATAATTGGGGTGAAGAGTAGTAGCAGTTATCGCTTAGGAACTCAATTTCCAATTGCATATTCTTCGCTTATGCTCAATTTAAGAAACGCAGAAAATAGAAGATTAGTACTTAAACTCCCACTGGTCAGAATATGAAGGCGGAATTACACAGACTATATATATGTGTGTGTGTGTGTGTGTGTGTGTGTGTGTGCGTGTGTGAAGGATGATAAGAGCGATCCATATGCTTTGAATGGCTAATAGTGACCAATAAATTATAGGTTCAACGTTTGATAAACCACCAAAGTAAAGAACATGCAAAGAAATATTTCTAAAGTTTCAGTATAACATACCATTGTAATATTTGGCGAAATTTATGTATTCACAGCGCGGTTTTGAAGTTATGTTACGATTGCATGCAGTCTCTGATTTTTTTTAAAAAAAAGAGGCGGAGTATAGAAATACGCAAAGGTTAACTTGCAAATAAACAATTTGGTAGTACGTAATGATGAATCTGCGATTACCAAAGGAATAAATTCGTAATTTTCAATAACATGCGCAATTGTTGCTTTTCTAAGGACTGCTTATATTGCTGGAGAGGAGTTTACTTCCCTTAACCTTGTATTGTGTTGTAGTACATAAAATATAAAATAAATTCCATCAAGGCATGAAGGAAACTAAAGATCAAAATTATGCTTTCAACACGAAAATGCTTGCACATCAGCATAAACAAAAATAACAGATATAAGACAAACACATAAAATAATTAAAATACAAAAATAAAAGTGATATTTTTAATGCATTCTTTTATGCTCTGTTCTTTTATTGTTTGCTTCTTAAATGTAATTTATTACGCATTTAATGAAACGTTTTAAAATAAAATCATTTTCGACTCCATATTTACAATTTCATCCTCTATAACAAAATGATGAAAGAAAAACAATTACAATTTTTTTTTTTACCTCTGCATCCACCATAGTAATCGACATGCACATGCTTGTACTTGTCTTTAGTGCATTCTTCAGAGTTTTCGCTGCAGAAACATCTCATTCTGTAAACTTCGCAGTCACTGCTCCAAGTTTCATTGTGATTGCTACATACCTAATGTAGGGGAGGGGAGACGCATTAGAATCATATTCAATAACTGCGTATCCAGCTAACAGTTTTGGAATCCGTAACTTGTGAAAAGTACTTTGAATGTGTTCGCAACGTAATTCGAAAAATCATTAAATGTTTCATCATGCTTCACTTTGGGGGAGCTACGATTTTACACCAAAATACATTTAAAAGATAAAAATTAAAAGGGCGAACTGAATATATATAACTGGCAATATTTTGCTTCATTAATAACTGAAATTTTCCATGCATTTTAAGAGATAAAAAAGCACTTTTAATTTTTTTTTTTTGGAAGTAAAGGAGGTAATGTAATTGGGAAAAATTTCAAGTATCATATTTCAACGGAAATACACAATTTACGGTACCTGAATTTACTGGGCGATTTTTTTTGTGTGACGTCTCTCTTGCAAATCGAATAACATTTTTTTTCCAAAACAGATTGTAAAATTGATTTAATATGGATTCAAAAAAGATTTTTTTCGTGACTTCTCTACGTACATCTCGCGTAGCTCAGAAATGATTAACGGCAGAACTTTGAAATTTTGTATACAGGACTGCTATAACATCTAGTTGTGCACCTTCCTTTTTTATTGCAATTTACAGTACCAAACAACTATATGTATATATATCCACCATCTTACCTGGCTTACAAGTCCTTACCCGGCCCTTATTTTAGTAATCATTGGTCGAGGTCATTTACTTCCGTCAAATTTGTGCAACGTCAAATTTAAAAAAAAAATCGACAAATAATGAAATCTAAATTTTAATGCGTCTCCCGATTCTTATACTTATATCTGGAAAAGTTTTATACTCGTTATGAAAAAAATAAAATCATAAGAAGTTTGACTACCGTGACAAAAGATGAGCGGGTTATTTAATTTCCTAATTTGCCATTTTTACGTCATTTTCAACTTCCTTAAGAGGGATCGTTTAATCAAGTTAAAATAATTCGAGGAATAAGTTTAGCAGCCAAAAAATGTGTATAATTTAATAAATCCTACGAGGAAGTCATGTGATACCCACAACATTTTTTTTAAGAGCAAAATTGTAGTTGGAAAATGTGAGAAAAAATACCAGAAAAAAATTGAAATAAATAATATAAAATTTTTGAAGTGATACAGCTTTGAAGCTTTTGAACTACAGACAGCTTTGCAAGCAATTTCATAATTTTTTTAATCAATAATGAATCCTACTGGTTCTGCTATTCAATTCACTTTCGAACTTGAGGCATCCATTTCTGTTCCGTTCTTTTACATAGTGGGCACATGTAATATATCCAACTTCAGTACTACTTTTACCATAAACCTTTGTCTGTTTGCCTTCAATTACACCTCAAATCATGTCATTCAACCAAAGAGAGGTAAGCTTCATTTTATTCTTTCGTTTTCCGTGCACTTCAAGCTTGGTCTTCCAGATCGGCTCTTGATCAAAAGTTTCTTAAATGCAGCTGATATTGACCAAGGCTTTTCAATTAACATTATTGACCAAGTGATTAAAAAATTCTCATCTTAACATGTCAAAATATACCTTCTCGTTTTAGGAGATTATAAGAATTATGTTGTCATTCCTTTCTTTCCATCGATTACTTATAAATTTGCATGTATTTTACACGTTATTTACTTTCGGGTCATTTTGTCTTCTGTCATAAAATTCACAATTCAACACTGAAGGACCCCATTCGGAATAGGAACCCCTGGCGTATATGCAGGATTCTTTGCCAATTTGGTTTAATTTACATTAGTTAAACTAACAAAATCTTAAAATTTTGCTCTATGGAACATGCGACTTGCGTTAGGAACAATAAAACACACAAGTCCTCTGTTGTCCAACGTTGTTGGTCAGAAAACCACATTTTCCCATTTCTATAGTCAAATTTATTTAAAAAACATCTTCTGTTCGCGAATTATATTTTCTCGAGGCGTTTCACACTCATAAAAATCTTTAAGTTCTATTTAAAGATCCCAATTTCATTTCATCTTTACCTCAGCTTTTAAAGAAATATCTATATTTCATAGTTGTTTCCATTTTTCATCAATGTATGGTGCCAGCAGCTTAACTTCCTTCTTCTCACTCTTACCAGCTTATCTTATCGCTGGCTTCCTTTTCGTCATTTGCACTTCTGCAGCTGAAGGAGAAGGTTCCATATTTAAACCTTCGAAACTAGCCCTGGAAAATTTTAAATATTACGCTCCTTTAAATCCTCCGATAATTTCACTATTTGCTCAAGCTTAGGGAAAGTTCTTGTTTTTCGTGTTGGTGAAAGCATGGCGAAGTTCAAAGCATAATATTTTCTTTCCAAAATAGATTTCATTACATCCAAAAGACTTCTAACATCATGCACATACACTTTCCCAGGAAACCTGAGTCAACTTAGTAGTAAATTATACAGTATATGAATTTTTTGGCCTAAAGACATTTTCTAGACTTCTCCAAAGATTAGTTCTTTGCTCCCTTATGTCAGGGTTTCTAACCATTTCCCCCCGCGCACCCCTTTCACTATTGCTAGAAGATCATTGTTCGCCTCATTTCCAAAACTCGAAAAGTAAATATATACTTTTATCTAGATTTAAATGATTTTATAACATATTTTATAATTTAAACAACAAAAAGAATAGAAAATATTAATAAATACCAAAACTTGAATAAAAAGTCATTTTTGATATTCTTAAACTAAAACTAAATACTTAACAGCTAAAGAAAAGGCTGACCGCATTATTCCCTTGAAACTATGAAATACCCCCTCCCCAAGGATGAGAACTCCCGTCTTGTGATATCTGTCATTTACCCAAGAAGATTATAATCATTCGAGGAGGTATATACACAGAAAATGCTGAATGCTATAAAGGCCTCTCCGCTTCTTACCGTGTCTCGAGAGGATCAGCGTAAGGTCCAAACGAAAGTTATACACTAGGGGACATTTTCTGTTTACAGAATATAGCTTCTTTGTTGCACGTTTTTCGTATACTTGCCAAGTTTTTCTTATGCTTTGTGTACTATTGCCAAAAATCTGCCCGCAGTGATGATCTGGCTTTGTTCCAGAAGTTTAGAGTGAATTTTACGCTGCTCCATCCAGAACGCCAATGAAAACAATCTTCTACGAGTGCAGCGCTAGTTTTGAAATGCAGCGGCTCACCCTCGGACGGACCCTTATGTAAAAATCCCGTTAGATCATAAAGAATCCATTTTGGCTGTCACCACTCTGTTGCCACCCTGGATTTCACTATGCTATGAAGGTTCCAAAGTCCTGCGCCGAGTAACAGCTGTACATCAAAAAACGCTGTTAACATCAGCCTAAGTTCAACATTGGTATTGGTGAAGGAATCACTTTGTAACGTCGGTAATGATGTAATTACTTATATTCCTTCGCTAAAATAGCAAAGAATAGCCTGTCAGACAAGATCTTCCGCTATCTTCAGAAAAATCATGCGGAATCCATCTATCACAATCCATAAATCTTCCACAGTGTACGCAAGTGATACTGAGCTGCTGCTTCCGGATATATACATTGATTCTAAACTATTTTCAAGAAATATGAGTTATAGTTATGTTACGCTGTCATTCACTGCTGAAAGTATGCATGTATCTTTCAATGTTTCCTCTCCAAAATAAAATTTGCTAAAGCAGATTTTAATGTTCCTAACATTTGACACATTCACATTAAACACTCGAGTTACGGGCTGCCTCTAACCTCCATTTTCTTTTGGCCAGATTAAAAAATCGTACGGAAATGCCTTCCGAATTTTTACCGTATCTGACGCCTTTTACTGCGGGACTTACGGTCGTTGTATCCGTTGATTTGGTATCGACGTTATCCACGGACATACTGAAATAAATGGCTCAAACACATCTAACACTAATAATTTGCCACGGAAAAGTGCACCTGCGAACATTTCGGACTGATGCAACCAAAAATTATGTATAAAAACGATCACTTATGCAAAATTATATTTTTGTTCTCAGCTTCAACCCACGAATTCCGAAACATTTCTTCTCTCCAGCCACACGTGATAGCTATAATTATATCGGCAAGGAAAGCGTAGACAGGAATATATCTCTTCTTTCTTTGCTTCCATACCCGTGTTTTACTATTAAAATATTTTTTCTTGCTCTCATATTTTTTCCAGCATTCTTTTTATTTTTATTAGTGATAATTTAGCTGTTTTACTATTTCATTGTTATGTTGGAAAAAGAATAATTCGTGTTTTTTTCTACCAAACCTTTTTTTAAAAATAACACATTTTACTGAATATTCAGAGCTTAAATTTCGCTGGAAGCCTGGCCAGTATTTTTCAATATTTGAGTGAAATTGTAAATCCAGCTGCAGCTTCATGAGATTCGCTAAATTATTTTACTATTTAACTTGTAGGGTTTATATTTATTTTAACTAACATTTATTTTAAGCTATCTTTCCTGTCAAGCCTTTACTTTCCCCTGGAATGTTTTTGCCAATGTACGTCCCTTTATGTTTAGAGTCCATTTATGTAAATTTTAGTAGAACGCGCAGAATATTCAAATTTTTAGCAGAAGTAATTTGAGTTAAATAGAAGGGAAACGAGTTTGTAGGTGTGCTTTCTTGATTCACGAGCGTGAAGGTTGCTAGGTAGAAATTTAAGAACCGCGCGTTTCGGCCTGTGTGTCTACTCAGGCAGTTAGTTGAAACTTTCAAACTCTCAATCCGAAAGTTTGCTGAATCTCAGCTGTATCTTAGAACGCGGTTAAGATAGTTGCAATTATAGAGCCTCGTAGATAGTGACTTCATTAGTTATGCATCCTGTTATTTATTTTTAGTTGTACTTTTCTCTTTTTATTTAACCGCCGGGTAGGCGTAGTTTGTGAGCGTCAAGTGAACGCATCTGTAACTTCTAAAGTGGAATAAAAAGGGAGTTAAACCCTTCTTAAGAGTTTGTGTAATTTCCAGTTCATAGCAGTCACTACTACTGTTGCGGACAAGTTGGGGCTACGCAACACCACAAACTATTTGTCATTAATTTAATTTTTTATGTATTTCTCTTTACGTTTTATTAAATGTTCATTATTAACTATTTATTAAACTGATTAACTATTTATTTATTTCATTTATTTATTTTTAATCTATCTTGACGCCTTCTCAGAGGCATTTCTAATTATAATAATCAAATTTTGCTCTAGTATACGGTTCGTTACATTTACAGCGAAGTGCAGTTACAGATTACACATTACACATTGACACCACAGCAATCGTTCTACTTTTCTATCCTATCGCTTTTTTTAAGTGCACACACTCGAGAATGCCAAATCAGAGAGCAAAATGGAGGCTAACTTTTAGCAGGTTGGATAAATAAAGAACAACGTAGATTCGAAACTTTCCGAGCTTCAGATTCAAATTAAGTAATTTAGCAGATATAAACTATTTATGCTAGTTCTAAATTATAGCAATAAATATGGCTCCATTTCAGCCAACTACTATCGGCGAATTTGCGGAAGGTACTTAACATTTGTACTAAAAGTTGAACATTTCCTACCTCCAAGGTATTACAAACTGTACCTCCAATTTACAAGTGGAAAACGGCATATTCATAATATCTCCTATATTAAAAACAAACTTAAGTATTATAAACATATATACAATGCGAATATTTATAGATAATTATGTAATTTTATAGCAATAAAATTTACTAAATTTAAAACTTTCCCCTGATCTGCCTTAAAACTTCGACAATTTCCTTCATCTAACATCACCGATAAATCAAGTGCAAAAGAAAATTCATGTAAGACATATAAACAAATCATGTTTTTAAATTATTACAGTCTCTTAAGTGGTACGCTAAGAATTTAAATAAAAGGGTAAATATCTGAATATTTGACTAAAAAGATAAAATTCGGAGATAAAGTCAAGAGATTTTCGTAATAATTTTAGCACCAGTTTAAGTTTGAGTTTAGGAAAACCAATGCACATACTGAAATTTATTAAGCTATTGATGTGTATATTAGAATTAAACACACTTAAAACATATTTAAAGGGCGTCAAAGATGAATGCCTTAAGAGAGATTTTATACTCACCTTTCTCCTATCGTCCGTTTCCTGAGGGCATTCTGGAATGCAAACACATTGTCCTTGGCCTTTCTCATTCACTTCACAAACTCTGCCTGCTCCGCACCGTACTTTCAAACAAGGATCTAGAGAAATTCATATAAAATACTTTTTGAATACTTTTATAAAAATAATATTTTTCACAAAATTATTTTTCTATATAAATACTGCTAAAGTAATGAATGAAAAGAATTAAGTGTTAGCAGAAAGCTGTATGAAAATAAATAACGCGACTTAAATTATTAAAAGGAGATTTGGAAAGAAAATGAGTTTTCTGAAAAAAGATATAGGATTTCAATGCAGTCTGATTGTTAGCTCAGTATAAATGAGCAAAAGCTATTCCAATTTGAAATAAATTTGAAACAGAAAGGTAGAAAATTTGGAAGGATTCAGTTTTAATGTCGCGCCAGAGGATTTGTTGAGGTATTTTATGCTTTTGCTAGCTCACAGTTTATTAAGCTGTTCTTAGACTTACTGTACAACAAAACATACACACACACACATACAAAAATACCACCCCCCTAGAGGACAAAAGTAAATTAATGAGAAACTCAGATTATTGGACTGAGGTCCTTTAACTATCGCTTTAGTGGTTTTGCCGAAGATACTTGAATACTTGCATTTATAAACCCGTTTTCATTTATAGAACAAACATTCTTGACTCTGAGCAGCAATATAGAATTTATTGATCTTAGAACCAATTTCTCGTTGCACAATTAAATTTAACGAACTTTTATCACTCCCATTCACACAGAATAATATAATTAATTTCTGGTGCTTGTGCCCTATGAATATTTTCTAGACCTGAGAAAATTTTCTGAGAGTCACATTTGTCATTTTGGAACAAAATACAGATGCGAACAAGCGTTTCCATCATGAAAATGATTAAGAACAAATTATGGTCACGACTGACTGATTCAAATACGAAAAAATGATTCTTTCTGTGACTGATATAACTCCAAACATAAGCTGAGCAAAAGCAAAGCAATTTCAAAATCTGATTAAAGCAATTAATATTTATTTTACCTTTGAAAGAAGTCTTTTTAGTTAAAACTTCTAAAATAGTCTATATTACCATATGCATAATAAAACCATCTCATGCATAACTCTTAAATCCATATTACCATACTTTATAAGGTCCCGTTAGGTTTATGTTATTTGAATATGGCAAAGTACACGAGGGCTATATATAATGCCTACTAAAAGGGATGCTTTCATAGGTACAGAGTACACATGAATAAAACTATGGAAAAGCACCTATGCAACCATCCCGTTAGCCTAAATTTGCATCCGGGTGTAATTACTAGTATTCATTGGTCTTTAACCACTTAGGCGATTGGAGGGGCTTTTAAAAGGGTTGAAAAGAGTATTGGACCTCTCCTAAAATTCCCTTACTATTTGGAAGGAAAGTTTAAAATTACTTTAAATTCGGTAGTTGAACATATTAAATTCTTGAACTAATTTTAATGCATTTTGTATATTTTTGACACTCACTGATAGGTATTTGCTTCGCTTTGCACTTTTTTTTGCTTGATAATACTTTTTTAGATAATTAATTAAAAGTTTTCTCCAATTCTTATTAAAATTAAGGAATTCCAAGCGAATCTTTGGATTCCTTTTATGACTATATCATTAAAACTCACCTCTTTGAATTAGAAAAAACCTCAAACCGCTTTTCTTCAGGAAATTAACACTGCACCTTTGTTAGCATTAGTTCTGTATAATATGAAATTTTAATATTTTATAGGGTTATTATTATTTTACTTAAGCAGTTAGTATGATTTAGACCTTTAATAGAACATCTCCTCTTTCATTTCCTCACTAGAAATGCAAATGATTTAGAGGGTATTTGAGCTGAGGATTTTTAATTGTAAAACAGAGCGTGTTTCTGCCTTTCGAGGCCACGTTACTAAATTTCGCTAGTTCTCATAAAATTAAAATTATTCGGCTTTCCTGCCGTCATTTAAACTGTTCTCCAGTGAGAAGTTTAGAACCAACTTAGAATTAAAGTTAACTTTATTTACGCTTAGTTTAAATTCGGAAATTTCGGAAATTTGCTGTTACTTTAATCGCTGTTTTACTGTTTTAAATTCGGAAATTTGCTGTTACTTGCATTGCTACAAGCGGTGATTAATTCTGTGAGTACCAGACGTACGTTTAAGTTTTATAAAGGTTATTTTAACCTTTTCGAGATTCTGTAATTCATTCCAGACATAGAGATAATTCGCTTAACGTATGTTAGAAATTTGATACTATTTTATGAAAACTAGTATCAAAGAAAGTTAAACTCTGTAACTTATTGGTTCATTTGAAAATCTGAAGATAATTCAAAGTCCCAATAATGTAATATTCCCATTTATGATACTGAAAACGCCCCTTAGTTATTTTTATCATGTTTAATAGGATTACAAGAGTTCTGCATTCGGTTTATCGAAGAAATTTTTAGTTAGACATTTCTTCTTTGATATTGAATATTTTTAAAAATCACAAACAAATTAGCTGTTTACCTAAGTAGACCTAAGTTTAAAATTTATAAAACATAATTTTAAACATAAACCTATGCTGATATTTATCTACAATTTTTTCCACGTAATGTTTCTTTATTCACTTTCTAAATTACATTAACATGCAATGCACAACCTTATAAGTCAGTCTTTACACCTTAACCTTTATCCAGTGGTGTTTATCACTGAATAAAATTTATTCAAATAAATTTAAATGTCAATCAGTTTCATTCATATTTAAATTACCGATATAGTCCGGTAAGTCTCCGATTACACTCAGTTCACGATTACCGAAACTAGTAATATTTTTCTTCCCTTGGCTTTTCAAATTGTTTAGCTTTCAGATGAGTTTCTTATGATTTGAATTTTACTACTTTTCCCTGTGCGTTTAATATATTATAACGTGTAAAATTTTATTTAATAAAAAGCAAACATTCCTTAGTTTAGTACAAACAATATTTCTTAAGAAAAGGACTTATTGAGGGGGGATATTTGCATTTTAATTACTATAGTAAAAAGATCAGTCGACTGTAATTAAAGTAAAAATAAGGTGAGATTATGCTTTGAATTACAATTGCGTACCACCTAACTTACAGTAACATTATACGAAATTTCATCAATAGTGTTTTCCATTCTAATAAATAAGTCTGGTCTTAGGAATTTTGTCGCCTTGTACAACAGCACATTTCTCGGCTTCTTTACTATTATTTAATTATACGTTAATTGTGCAGGGTAGGCCGATTTTGCCCTGCCACCAAAACTTGCTGCCTCGCGTAAATGTACGTATTGCACTTTCAATAGTGCAGCCTCTGATAACAGTACAGAAAATTCTCGACTGTCTGGAAAGCTGGGGAATTACCAAATACCGAATATGTGAAAATTCCAGATAGTTAAGTGTATAAACAATGCTTTCGCTTCACAAAAGCCAAATGAATATAAGAAATTTTGGTTTCAAAATTGAAGTAAACTATCGTTAACGTGAATCTCAAAGGGTCGAAAAGTCAAGAGCTCGTGTTAAAAACATTCGTGTGAACTGGGGACTGAAATGCTATTTTTGAAATATAGTTACGAAGTACTACAATACATTATGCATGTCGTCAGAGAAAACACTACAGTACTACATTAATTACTATCCTGTAACTTGCAAAAATACATCCACTGATCACCAACTTCACGGCACAGGTACTCATGGTTTTCCGTAAAACTGGTGGTGGTTTCGGATGTTGCAACAAAACGTTCTGCAGTGTCCAAGGCCTGTAACATTTCCATGCGGGAGGGACGAAATGATACTATCCTCCACACTTTTAGCGTTATTTGTTAACCTCAAACAGAACTAACTAACTGCACATCAGATTCTAAAGTAGCACACACGGTAACGTCATCATCTGTATTAACAAATTCCTCAAAACTCATCATTGAAGCAAAGGTTGCGATTGCAGAGCAACGCTGGCTATATTTCAAACAATATACTGTATTCTGTGAAGTTTTCAGTTAAGAGAGACGGAAAATTTCTGAACGCAGTCCTAGCGGAGAAGCAGCAGGAAAAAACATAAACCTATGTTCAAAAAACTTTGAAAGTTCGTTTTAAATGAGAGGATTTCACGACGCAACGGTCTAACAAATAGTTGGCAATTCAAAATAACTAAAATTCGCGTTAACCGATAAACGTCCTATAATATCATAAACATCGGTGCGTGACAGAAATTTTGTTCATGTTAACCGATTGTTCGCCTTAAACAAGTTCATGTTAAGGGGTGGTTTACTGTAGAAAAATAATTATCTTATTTGTTGTAATATGAATATAAAAAACATACCTTTAAAATTATGTAAGATTTCGGGAGAAAAAAGTGCAATTTTAGGAACATATTTCGTAGGCCTTAAACATATGAAAATGAAGCATCTTATCCATATGGAATATCGTCGACCACGAAAGTTGGCGGGAGATGCAGCTAAACTTGCGCCAATCGTTGTGACAGAAGTTTAGAGTTTTCTATTTTAAATTAATTTAGATAAGCAACAGGTACCAATTACGGATCCAGCATGGAAAACATTTAAATCGCTTATCATTATCTTTCACGATGCGTCGACATTATTTGTCCATTTTCAAATATAAATTTGCATAGCGTGTCCATTAATGCACACTTTGTTTGATGCCAGGATACCGTAATTTTAAAAATATTCCATTGATCCTATTTAGTCCCAAATTTCAATCATTTCTTCGAAACGCAAGGGAAAAACAGGTAATTCCATCTGTATAGAAATTAAACCGTCTAATCGAAAATTCACTGTGTTTACATGAAGCAAGGCTTTTATAATTGTGTTGTGATATCACGTATTATTAGTGCTAATCACAATAATTTATATTACTTAAATCAATAATCTGCATAATAAAGAGTACTGTAATATTTATAAAAATTTCATTTTAAATAGAATACCACTGTTAACTTATTTACGCTTCCTGTCATGTATTTTAAATCAGGTTCCTAAGATATTTAAAACTCATAAGATGTCGCAACTGTTTCAGCGGTTCAAAGTATACCGGTGTTTAATATTTACAGTAATGAGGATTATTTTATTATACGTTAGGCTTTTAAAGAGAAAATAATACATTTTAGCATAGTTTTGAGTTAAAATGTAGTTATTACTATAAAATAAATAATTAATACTAACCTTAGAAAATTTAAAATTCACAACAGAAAACAACTACTTCTAAACGTAGAATAATGAATTGTGTTTTAAATAACAGTTGCCGTTGTCGCTTAGCTCAAAATAATAGTTCTAATATGAGGTTAGAAACTACGTTTATCTCACACTAGTTTTGAAAATCGCTAATGCATGCAGCATGTCTTCAGATATTCGAAAGCTGGTTGCAGAAAAAGATGCCTAACATCGGGAAACCAGCAACGAGTATTCATAATCTACTACCAGGATTTCCTTATATTCTTTCTCTATTTTTTAAGAAGTACAGTATTATGTAATATTTTATATGTTTACCCACTTTTTAATTACATTATTAAGCATGTAAATGGCCTTTTTTTGCAGTCCCTACTATTGTATACCAACGCCTATTTAATCTCCTTGCGGTACTGAGTTTGACTTATCTGCTCTACGATAAAGGACAAATTTACGATACAATACTGTTTTCGTAAAAGCTTTCTCAATTTGGTTAGAAAGGAAAACACCGATCCTGTTATAAATGGCTATTTTTCTTCCAAGTTAATTTTAAGAATAAAAATTGCTATGACTCACCTGCAACATAACCTCCCCCAATTTCATTTTCAGCGTTGTCCGCATCAACTTCATTTTCATTGCTGTTGCTGTCGATTTCATTCAAACTTTCGTCTTCAGCAATCAAATCCAACTGGTCTTTTTCTGTATTATCCACTTCGTTGCTCTGGATAGAAGTGGGAACAAAAATTTATCAAAAAAAAAAAAAAAAAAAAAACTTTATTACATTATTATGCTAAACTTAAATTTTTGTGAAGGTCATTGAATCACTTTTAAAAGTTTGTATGATGGAACTATCAAAGGTCTGTTGACTCTCAGTAAAATCGGCTATAGATAATCAATAAAATTTTCATGGTATGCTGAGATATCTGTTTCATCCGCTTCTGACTTGTGTTTCTTATAATTCCAAAAAGCTGCTACTTCTTGTTTTTACAATTTCAGAAGTCAGGTTTTGATAATACTCATTTCTGCTTTAACTAAACACTTCTCATGTACTAATACAGTTGCATTATCCATGACAATTTATAAATTTTGATATCATTTTTAATGAAATAATGATGAATTCTTAAAATTTCGTGTAATAGAAAATTAGAATTAATTAGATTTTCAGTAAACTGACCTAAATTCACCAAGGATACTAATAACAATGCAAGATGAAGTAATCTCTTACGTTAATGGTGACAATTATTTTGATATATTAAGGAAATAATAAAATGTCATTAAAAATTAAACATTCAACTTTTACTCATGTACTTTCATTAGATATGTGTTAGTTATGAGAAAATTGCAGCAGAGTTAAACAGCTTACGTCAGTTGAAAGTTGCATTTTGTAATATTCCTCTCTCTTTCAATAAAAATATATTACATAAAAATATTAACAGTGTAAAAGTAATACCTCATAAGATATTTTAACTTTTGACTAAAATGCTTCAAAACACAGGACAAAACTGTAGAGCACAGATTCCCAGTGGAGTCGGTATAGATTTTAGGTCGATGTAGATTACGGTCGATGCAATTTTTAAGGGATCATTGATGATCAAGGGGCAGATTGGGTTCGATAGCCGAATATGAATGGGAAATTGATCAGCATAATGATGATCGCACTGATTACAAAACTATCATGCTGTAAAACTGTTAATTAATTGTTCATTGATACAAAACTAATTCATGTAGTAAATATAAAGTAAACAACTCATATTAAATATAAGGGGAAAATACATAAAAATTATTTAATATATTTTAAAAACCAATGAGACTTTTTAAAAATATATAAATGTTTCATACAAAAGTGCAATAAAATAGTAAAACGCAGGAACACACACACACAAAGTAGAAAAACTACAAGGAACGCAAAACTTCCTCAGAAAATATTTGTTACATACAAGATGTTTGCAAAATTTAAAAGAAGACTGAGTCACTTTCAGGACCCTGAAAATTTGAGTCTGCCAGCACAGTTCATAGAACCTCTGATCGCTTGAAATCAAGCACAAGTTTTATTCGAAGCCTGTGTCAACTAAGTTTTGGAATTTAAATGTCATCCATGAGAAATATTCCAAACTAATAGTTATGACTGAACAACATGATAACGCTCCTTAAGCAGGCTTCTGTCAAGTGAATAATTTTTACTAATGGAAACAAGGAACACAGTTAATGCTTTTGAAGAAGGTTATTTAAGAATTAAGCAGTTTTATGGCAAATATTTAAAAACGTGCATCAATAAATCAAGTGCAGCCATCATATTTGTTATAATCGAACTTTTGTGCAATTTGAATTCGTGACTTTGTTACTGAGAACTTATAGTTGTAAAATTAACATTAATAGAAATAATAATACAAACAATCTAATAAACCATTTTTTAAAACTTTTTTTCATATTCTTAATCTCATTGCTATCTTTTAAGTTATTTATGTGCAATAGCGTATTTGTATTATGATTATGTTGTATGATGTAAATTGTAAGTAAAGGGGTTGATGAAGAAAGCCATTCTTTTAAAAGGTCGATGAAAGAAAACGTTTGGGAATCTCTGCTGTGGAATATTAAATAATTCCTTCATTCCGAATAAAAATTAAGACAGCATTGCTGAAAGAAATTTTCATCAAAGTGCAATTTTAAATACTCATAAGAACTGTGCAGTTGAGAATCCCAAAGAGCAAATTTCTTAGTGTAAGAGACTTTTACCACAGAGAACTAAACTACTTTCAATAGTTTAGTAACAAAATTTTACGTCAGATATTATCCCTGAACCATATAGCATTGAAAAAAGAACGAAGCGGGGAGGGGAGGGAACTCATCGTCAATCAGAAATGTTCCACCTTATCGAGTATAAAGAAATCCTGTTTATCCAGAAAAATCAACATTAAATTTTGACAAATTCTTTTTGCACAAAAAATTATATTGCCCTTATAAAAATTTTGAATTATCGAAGTTCAGATTAATCGTAATTTTACTATCTCATTTTCAGTGCATAGAAAACTCACAAACTCACCATTACTTTACTTTAAAACAAATGTGAAAAAAGGAAAAAAAAAAAAGAAAAAAGAATGAAAAAAAAATTCAACAGACATCAATCTAAAGTATAAAATTCGTAGTTTTACGAAAAAACGCATTTAAACGTTTAGCATGAATCTGATAGGTCGACGTATGGTTTCTGTATAATTATGATCATATGTTCAGCTTAATATGTGTCTGTTTTATTTAAACACAACGACGATAAACATCGGAAAAATAAACACATATAACTTGGAAACAGCAAAAATATAAATTCTTAGTTTGGCCATGCTAAGTATTTTTTAAGGGTTAAATACTTTGTATTTTTTCACGTTAAGATGGATACAGACAATTTATATAGCTAATTATCAGAAAATCAGTACTTACTTGAGGGAGATCTTTTGAAAGTGTACATGATATGAGTGCTAGTGTTGCCAAGAAAGACATCCAACGGATACTCATCTTCATTTTTTTCAAAGGTTACAGAAACGTCTGTAATGCTTTGAATATAACAAACGATATATTACTATTTCTATCAGATGTGCTAAATTTGTATTTAAGAATTAAGCAATTTTATCCAGTTTATGGCTAAACTGTACTAAATTTGTACAATAAAATAATGAAATACTATAGAATCAAAGTGATACTAATTTAAAAGTGATTATTATATAACTTTTCACGTTATATAATTACTTTAAGAAAACATTTCCTATATTCAGTGTAACATTACAAACTATTTAAAGATATAGTAATCAAAACATTGTTTGATTTATGAATACATATAATTAATTTTGAATGGATTTAATGTATTGTGAAGTATTATTTCTTGCGATTACCGAACTTGCACGGTATACTTTAAATAAGAAAATGTTTTTGCATATTTTTCTTTGAGAATTTCGTTTTGATTTAAAAAAATCAGAAATGATTCACTTAAATTATACACATGCAAGAAATCGCTTGCAAAGTTTCAGAAGTTTATATTGCATTTATGAACTGACAATAGTCAGTATCTCATTTTCTCATACAATCAATTTTTTTAACTTTTTAGTATTTTAATTCCTAAATTAATAGCACGGATATGCATATGAAAAATTCCAAAGCAAAAATTTTCTAATGCAGATATTTCTTAAATTTTATCAAGTTCAACTTTTAATCAGTTATATGATTTCATAGTTCAACAGCTTTAGAAATTTACTCAAAAAACGAACTACTCTTCATAACTTAAAAATTTCTTAATTTAATAAAAAAAAACTAAATTAAAAAATGTCAAAGGACTATGGTAACAAAAATGTGTTTTACGATCAAAACAACGTATAGAATAATAAACATGTTAAAGAGTACTTCTAGCTGAGAAAACAGAATGATGCTGGGAGCATTTTAATAAATGTCAATAACACCTCTTTTTTTCCCTTCTTAGTGTAGCATCAAAGAGCTTATTGAAAGATGGTGATAAATAAGAGTTGTGATATCAAGATATCAAATTTAAGTTGGAAATTTTAGGCCATTTTTTTGCTCATATTCGATTTGCTACAAAAAATAAATTTATTTGCAGTGACATTTATACCTAAAAGCAGTTCTAAAAAGCACTGATGTTCATATCTCTAAGTTCTTTCAGTTTTTGATTATATGTTACTAATATAAATTACACAGAGTATTAGGAGCTAATGTAAAAAAAAAATGAATCACCAAGATTGCATTACTTTTCTTGAATCAAATTCCAATCTATTCCAGTTTTTGTATAAGGCTCTACATATAAATAACACTTCTGCGCATATATTTTTTTCTCTTTAGTAAATTTCCCATCTAGCTTTTCCTCCCAAATTTCTAACTTATCGTAACAACGAACAAGGCATCAACAGCTAACAAAGTACATTGTGGAAGTATAAAGAGCTGTACTAAAAGTAATAATGACAATTGATATGTTCATTTGTTAAGTTTTTCCTTTAACCTCTTTCTTCAGCTGTAAGAAGGTCATGGTATACAAACTTTTCGGCGATTTGACCCCATGAAAATGCAACTAACCCCCATCAGAGCGTCGACCTTTGTTGTATATCATCAATTCAGATATTTTGGGATTTTTAACTGCCTTCCGACCATACTATAAGTTTGAGCGATCCCAAACGGGGTTGCGACCCATAGTTTGAATGAGTATCACTGCTTTAAAGAATCTCTGCGAATATCGGGCAGTTCTTTAATGTAATGCCTTAAGGGCACATCATCTGCAGCTAAAGTTTTCAATGAGATGGAGAAAGAAGGTAGGGGTGCTGTGCCATAATCCCACAGGCCTTTGAAAATTCAAAGGTAAAGTCAGAAAAAAATTATCAGAATATGAACGAAATGTGTGGGAATTAAGTCGAAATATTAAATAACAATACGATAAAAGCTATCGCTGGTTGAATGAATGCCAAAAGCTGCACAGCAATGAGATACAAATACAAAAAAATACCAAATATACAATGTTAAGAATCAGTACAATAAGGAAAACCTATGTTGTACGCAAATACAAGGAAAATACGTAAAATACATAATATGTAAAAGTCAGTGTGTAATATTACAGGTTATATCGAAATTCATTGTTGAAAAAATAAGACGCAAAAGGCTGATAGTGTTTGTCCTCGTTAAGTGTCACATAATTGAAAAGATTAAAGGATTTAAATGCCCACAGTTTAGTGCCTTTTTGTAGAAGTTTATATTATTTTCGTTTAGAAAATCTTAGTGTTTATCTGCAGATCTTTATGCAGCTGCTGCTTACGCACAAAATAGTGCGCATTTGTAATTCGTAAGCATTTGTTGTGAATTTTCTTTAAATATCATTATACCTTTCTTTGTTGCAGTACAACGAGCATGCTGATACGTTAAGTGATGATTGGAAGAATCATGATAGTCTAGATTAAACGTTTTTTTCCTGTGAGATAAAGCTGCGAATATTTTCTAATTGTCAGAAGAAGGCAAGTAATTACTTATCCTGTCTTATTTTTGTGGTATTTATACAGTCATTCCATTGTAAGGTATCGTTTATTGTTACTCTTCAGTATTTTGCTTCAGTAATAAATATATTATAGATCCCAGTATCGAAACTTCTGGAACACCTGCCCTAATTTGTCGAATACTGGACTGAATGTTTCGTTTTGAAACAAAAAATCTTTATTTCTCGATCTAAATTCAACTGAATTAATTTATAAATTACTCCTTCGTGTCAAACGGGGTCGAATTCTTTCGCCACGTCTAGCATGATTAAGTCACATTTTTGGTTATAGTGCAATCCTCACGAATTCAGTCAGTCTTACCAGTTGTTTTATTGTCGAAAGGGTTTTCCCTTCATAAATCCAAACTGTTTCTGTTGCTATAAATTCAAATAAGACAACATACGAAGAAATATAATATGCTCATAAATTTTACTTGAACCTGCACACCACAATTTATTATTTTCCTGCACACACAAATTTTACTTAAACCTTAATAGCACAACATCCTTCAAGTTTCGTGCTATCTTTATCGAGCTTTTCCTACTATCCAGAAAACATGAAATATATAATTAGGGTGGTAGTAGGTGTGCTGATAACACTGCTAGGCTTAATTCTAACTGCAACATTTGTAATGTCGTCATACCTTTTTTTTTTTATTTAACCCCACCTCTCGAGTTTTAAGAGGTAAAACTAAAAGAAAAATTTGTATACAAGCAAGTAGGTACGATATGCATATTTTTACAACTGAATCTCGGTATTTTTGTCATTTGATATAAAAGTTTCTAAATTTGATAAGCTGTTAAAAACTTTCCTATCGAAAGGAGCTGGCGTTAATAGTGAGTCGCCAGTTTTAGACTATAGATAACTTAGACCAGTACCTAGACCTACTTGCAACCTTATGCAGAAAATTCGTAATTTGTTCTTTGTTAATACAGTAAACTTTAGTAATGATATATGTTGGACTTATTTCATTCTTTAGTAATACATTATATTAAAAAAGAGAGAATTGTCATACACAACGATACATATAAATTAAAAGCTGTTTTGAATACATTAAATTAATAAAAGAGAATTATCATACATGACGATACATATAAATTAAAAGCTGTTTTGAACTTCTAAAATCTGTGAAATCATAATTAATGAAAATCTTAATTTACCGACCCTGAATGAGTCATAAGAATGACTTGAGAGAACCCAGAGAAACTGTCTGATAATTAACTAAAATTGAATTCCTACTCTACAAATATAAAGTCCTTTATATTTATAACAATGTTGAATCTTTGTTAGTAAAGCAAGATCCTAAACATGATCTTCAATAGAAATTTAGCACACAAACGGAAAGAGCTATTTGAGTGGGAAATAATTTATTAAATTAATAGTATGGACTTGTAATTTTGTGATGCTAGGGGAAAAATGCAAGAATATCCATTAAAACTTATTTTTCATTATCAAAGTATGACTTGATTTTAAAGGAATGTTAGTATAGGAATAGAAAAATGTTAATAATTTTTTCATAGTAAATTCAGTATTTCTAGATTTCATATCATCTGTATGTAATCCAAAAGTAGAACAAGATTTGGTAAATAGTTAACACAAATTTTAAAGAAGAAAAATTCGGAATGGCCCTTTTAGGTATTCTAACAGAGATGTTCAATGCAGTAAAACTATTATACAACATGGAGGGATGAAGAGAGTATTGTGTTCCCTCACATACAAATATAAACTCTAGTATACGTCTAAATATGAATTATTACCTTACAATATTTTTATTTAGTTACAGTATGTATGCCATAGTTCCCTTATAAATAAACTGGTCAAATTTAGAACCTGGAATTTGTTTTTAATTATTTTCCTATCTATGTTGGGGAACTGCATTATAATGAAATATTTTAATAATTGAAAAGTTCTGTAATGTTCATAAGCTTGCATAATATTATATTCGTATTAGTTAAGTACTAAATCAAGATGATTATTTTCAATTAAAAAGACAAAAAAAAAGTAATTTTCATTAAGTGTTTTCGTTAAGAAGAAAAGTGTAGCTCTAAATGCTTTAATACACGTTCATTAACATTTTATTCTCAATACTTGATTTAAAAATACAGAAACTGCATCTGTTATCAATAATCTGAATACTTTTATTTAATAAGATTTCAATATCTTTGGATTATGGAAATAAGTTTGGGTGAAACCAAGCTGTTTGAACAAAAAATTACACATTTTCTAATTAGCTGAAAAGCTTATGAGCTCATTAAAATAAGCTTGATAATTTTCTCATTAGTCAGGCGCACTAAAAAATAATGACGCTCTTCTCAATAGGATTTTTCTATTATCCTACGACATAAATAAAACTCCACAATCCATGAGTATAAGTAAAATATATTAGGCTCTGTTGTTTTTAATATGTATATCTTTATATCAGAAAAAAGATTCTTCTAAGTCTTATGGTTTTCAATGCGTTAAATATACCTCAAAATTACATTTTCTAAAATGATGCTTTTTCGATCATAGAAAATTCCTGCACAAAATAAGAA